TAGGCTGATGGCAGCATGATAATTATGAGAGTGACCTTCTCTTTGTATCTTCGGTAGCAAGGAAGAGAGCGGGTCACGAATGAGGGCCAATTTGATAAGCAGACACTGGCGATGCGAGATGAAATCAAACGCCGCGGTGGGTTGAGATAAAAGATTATAGCTGGTTGTGACAGTTCCGGCTCCATTCACTCTACTACGAGCTACAATAGAACCCCTCCACTAACTCACACTATGCTGTACATAGTCTCATTCAAAGACACAGTAACCCTTCATGTGGGGTAAAGTGTTTGTAAGAGTTTGGCACAGACACTCAAAGTTGCCCAGCAGAAACTGGTTGAATGGCAAGGGGCGCACCAACATGCCAGTCCGCCGAGCCCCACTTCCCTCCCCAGAGGGACAAGACGACACTATTATCACGACAATAGGCAGGGTTCTTTCTTTTTTAGCGGGGGGAGTGGAGGGTTGAGGAGAGGAGTAGAGGTGGGTGGAGCTAGGGTCGTTAGTGGTATAGTCCTTTTAGTTTTTTTTCCTTTTTTCTTTTCAGTTCAGCAAGCATGACTACCCAGTGGGGCTCTATGGGGGGATGACTCTATACAATTATGGCATACTGGTTAATGGTTCGATACGTCGCAATACGTACATTGGGTATCCAGTTATATGCGGTACGCACTTTAGGTATTTGGGTATGCACTTTTTATTCGGATTCTGCAATTGCATAATGAAATTTCTATATATACAACCTCACTCACAGTATTGTACTTTTATTACATTAGCCATGATGATAAAAAAGTACGCTTGTTTAAACACCTGGAGTAACTAAACAGACAAATTAAAATATAAACTACAATGATTCTCAAATGAATTTGGAGTATTGGAGTTGTGAATTGGGGAAAACTTGGTTTCCACAAATAAAAAAGTGTGCATACCCAAAATGAGAGAAATGGGTACCCAAGTATAAAAGGTGTGACCAAATGAGGGAAATGGGTACCCAAATACAAAAAGGAGTGTGTACCCAAATGAGACTTGCCTCTCGCCTCTAGAGAGGGTGAGAAAAACTCACCGTCCAAACGGAAGTGAATTGACGGGTGCCGAAGGGGGGCAACCACACGCTGGGTTTCCTTCTGTGCAATATCAAAGCAGGGATAGATGGTTCCATCATTGACACGTGTTTGTCGTTTTCTGTGCCGGTTGATGAAGAGGGTACGTTTCTGTTGAGTGCGGAGTGTATAATAACAGGACCTTCCCTCTATGCAGAGATGGTATACATCTAGTGCCATCACAAAGGTGCACAAAAAAGTACGTGTTATACGTGGTTCTAGGCGGTGAAGGAGCATGTTACTCTGGTTCAATAATTATGTCATCTGGCCTACATAGAACTGTGTACTACGCGAGCGTCAATTGGAGCTCAGCTTTCCAAAAACGGAAAGAATTGGATTAGACATGTATTTAGATGGCACGTGAGTTACTGCGGGGTGTTGCACATACCTTTGCCACCTTTGGGGGCTATGTGCTCCTGATTATTCTAAGACATACACTTGTGTTCAACCACTGAGTTGGATGTGTGTTTTCTCACCAAACATTTGTTTTAGTATACATAATAATTTGTGTGTACACATGCAATATTTAGGGGTGCTCCTGGCAGCACTGACCAGGGGTATCTACATAGCTTGTGCCCACCGTACATTATGTTGTGCAACGGGACTGTTAAGATTATCTTTGCAGCTCATGCTTTCACTGTTCCCACCAAAGGTTTACTGTAATGTCACCAATTGTGCAACCCACACACATGTATTTTTCCACATCTTTATCAGCTGTATCACTATGTATATACTGTGAAGGTCATGCCAGAACAAACAGCAGCATCACAACAAGAGTTGACATGGAGGAGAGGCAACAACTCAGCACAATGGAAATTCATGGAGTTCAAACAAACTAAGAACCATAAAAATGAGTAACTAGTGACAGATGAGAATCTAACTGCAGCAAGAGTTCCCCATGACTTGCATTGTTCTGTGTTGTCTGATTGTTATATAATAATATTTTCATGGTTTGAGAGAGTAATTATCTCGTAAAAGTTGTGAATGAATACATAATAATGACAAGGAACTGCACTTAACAAATATGGAAGGTGACTACGCTGTGTGGCCTGGTAAGGTGCATGGTATAAAAAATTAATGAATAATTATTGTTCACATTGTCCTCCGTATGCCGCTATCTAAACGTCAGTGAAATAAACTTGGTTCAAATTTTCCCATGTGAAAAAAACGTCATTCCGCATCGGGACCTGTCGTAGTTCCTCATCACGTGGGGAATAGCTGTGCAGGTGTACATAAATTATTATTAACAAAATAGACTGCGTATTATTATGCTAGAATAAAGGCACTAAAGTGCAAACCCTCAAGGCAAAAGAGACATTTGCACAATTCAGCAGCAGTGTATGCTATGCATGAGCAACCAGATAATGCCACACAGGTCATTTTCTGCCTAGACTACATCCCCACATCATCCAACATTGCTCAGCCAAACATAATGGCAGGTATATACCCGCCTTCCTATACTATAACCACTGACAGGAGTAAACCTATGGCACTAAGATTGATATCTCAGATTGTTTTTTTTACATTCTACTTTTCCCTGTTCCTTACAAACTGGACTATAAAGAGGCACAGTTTTCTGCACTGCAAATCTGCACTGCAAAGTAGAAATGAACATACTCTTGTGAAGTGTGAGAAAACTACTTGTCTAACCAGTTTACCCTAGTGGCCACATATCTGGATTGAAAGAACGGAGGGTTGTCTGATCTTCTCCCCTGAACTAGTACATGTCTACTTAGGTTAATTAAAAATGGGGTGATGTAATTATAATTAGACTGAAGTGTGAACCTGCATTCTCTAAGTAATTGTAAAACACCATCAAGAATGTAGGTAACACTGCATAGAAACAGTAATACTGTGTATGAATCATACACAATACTACAGCACTCTATGGGATAACCATGGCTGGTGGAGGATAGAAATGAGTGCACACCTTTTCCAAACCCTCCACACAATGATCGTGACAGGGACCAGTAGAGCCACCAGGACCACCACACTTAGCACTGGGACCAACACCCATACCAGTAGCACCTCCTCTCTGTCACTCTCCTCCACTGCTTCTGCGGTCACGACAGATGAAGAGTGTATTGTAGTTAGGAATGGCTATGTTACCGTCAATTTATAAAGTGGACGGCGATATAGAGATAGTGCTCATAGTCTAGTCTTCTTTCCAGGCCATTCCCACTATGTGTCAGTTAATGCAGTGACCGTTACACATGCAGAACGGTGACAAGCTGATTCTGAAACACCACATGGGGAAAAATCAGTGCAAGCTTTGCGTCGTCAGTACTCGGGTTTGATGTTTGTAAGTCACTACTTGTCCTAGACACACAAGGCTTTGGGAGATTATGCCTTTACATTATCACACGCACTAAAGGAACGTAGCATAGTGGAAATGAGGCTACTAATGATAGGGTAAGAGGAGTATATACCTATACCTGTAGGAGTCATAGTCACACCCTGCACACCTGTAGGAAGAGTAATCCAAACACTCCAGGGAGTGTCCTCATACTCAGCCGGAAAGCGCCGCACCTGAACTTTCACCCTCAGTCGAATCTACAGGAAATAACCACATGATTGACACATTTCAATAATGGGGTTGATTGTAGGGGCCCACCTCATAGTTGTGAGCATTTTCCAACTGGTTGATAATGACCCTGCTCTGTCCGGCATCTACTGTCTCCGTAAGCCCCTCCCCCTCCTCACCAATGGTGCGATACTGGACTTGGTAGTAGGCAAATACGGTCCCTGGTGGTGGGGGGAGGGTGGGGTACCACTGGACCACCAGTTCCTGGCTCACAGGCATATATGACACCGTGATGTTCAGTGGACACTTTTGAGGAGCTGTTAGGTGCAGCAAAATACTAACAGTGAACACATACATTGTGTAGAGTGCGTGTTTGTGTGGATGTGTTAAAACCCTCACTGCACTGTTGCAGACTCACATCACTGGTCAAGACAATATCGTGCACAGGGTAGGCAAGTAAAAACGTACAGAACACTTCTCACGTTTACATTTGAGGCGAGCCTCCCTTATAACTGTGTGTTATGTCTCCCCCACATGCATGACCAATTGTCCAACTGGCTCATGGTCTTCACTCCTATTACGTAGTAAGTTTGACTCACCAGGACCATAATTATGTGTAGGCAGTCTGCTCCTGTCCGTCCGCTCCTTGGCCCAGAGGAGACCATGATGAAACCCTCACTCGATACTCACTGCTAGAATTTAACCCCTCCACCACCCAGGGAGATGAAGAGGGGAGGAGAGTGCCGGAGGTGAAGGTGGCATTGGTGAGGGTGTGAGTGGTGAGGATCTTGTAGCGGAGGAGGAGGGGATGGAGGAGGAGGGGATGGACTGAGGGAGGCTGGGGAGGGGACCAGGTCACATACAGACTGGTGGTGCTGTCAGCTACCACTGAGAATGGAGTGGGGCCTGGGAGATGTGTGCGTTGGAACATAACACACCAGGCAGACTTAGTCTTGAAGTCATGGTGAAATTGCTACAGCTACGGTCCATCAACTCACTGTTGGATCGTCCTCCTGAATGAAAGTCATTGTCTTCCCTTCCTGTCCTTTCACAAAGAGGTTCCATCTCGGCATGCTTGGTTTTACTCTGGAGATTAGACAACCCTCTCTTGATAAAGATCTGTATGTGTAGCGTGCCAGGGCTCAGCCGGCCGAGCCGGCCGCAATATTTACGTCACGCAATTAGCGTAGCGCGTAGAATACAGCGCTCAATCAGACAGTAGTAAATTTTGGCTCTCTAATGTCTATTCAGGCACATGCAGTGTATCTAGAAATTTAGAATGCAGTGCACCGCGGGCACACCAATGTAGTGCAATAATATTACTGAGTCATTCTGGCACGCTAATGTTTATGAGCCATTTAGTCTACGGAGCCATTCTGGCACGCTAATGTACTGTAGTCTACGGAGCCATTCTGGCACGCTAGAGTGTACTGTAATCTTATGAGACATTCTGGCACGCTAATCTACAGCAAACTACAGAGCCATTCTTGAACGCTATTGTACTGCAATCTATGAGCCATTCTGGCACTCCAGTTTATATACTGCAATCATTCTGGCACGCCAGTGTGCTGTAATCTATGAGCCATTCTGGCACGCCAGTTTATAAACTGCAATCTACGGGGCCATTCTGGCACGCTAGCCTACTGTAATCTATGAGCCATTCTGGCACGCTAGTGTACTGTAATCTTATAAGCCATTCTGGCACGCTAGTGTACTGTAATCTTATGGGCCATTCTGGCACGCTAGCCTACTGTAATCTATGAGCCATTCTGGCACGCTAGCCTACTGTAATCTATGAGCCATTCTGGCACGCTAGTGTACTGTAATCTTATGAGCCATTCTGGCACGCTAGCCTACTGTAATCTATGAGCCATTCTGGCACGCCAGTGTACTGCAATCTATGAGCCATTCTGGCACGCTAGTGTACTGTAGTCTACGGAGCCATTCTGGCACGCTAGCCTACTGTAATCTATGAGCCATTCTGGCACGCCAGTGTACTGCAATCTATGAGCCATTCTGGCACGCTAGTGTACTGTAGTCTACGGAGCCATTCTGGCACGCTAGCCTACTGTAATCTATGAGCCATTCTGGCACGCTAGTGTACTGCAATCTTATGAGCCATTCTGGCACGCTAGTGTACTGTAATCTTATGAGCCATTCTGGCACGCTAGCCTACTGTAATCTATGAGCCATTCTGGCACGCCAGTGTACTGCAATCTACGGAGCCATTCTGGCACGCTAGTGTACTGTAATCTACGGAGCCTGGCACACTTAGTCTACGGAGACTCTTACTCTCCTGTGCAAGACACCAGATAATGTAAGATGGATGACTTTTCTGAAGTTTGTGTTGGGCGCCCCCGGTTATGCGCATGCGCATCACGCCATGCGCATCACTACTTTTGAGGTGTCGTTTTCTGGAGGGTGTCAATTTTGCGCATCAACTACTTTTGAGGTGTCGTTTTCTGGAAGGTGGAAGAAAGAAAAGATGGGCCAAAGCTCCAGCGAAGAAGCCAAGCCTGAAACAGTGGAAGGTGAACTGAAACAGTGGGTGAAAACAGAAATGAAGAAAGAACTAATGAAATTTAAAGAAGGGGATGCTGAAGCCCGAGAGGACCATGTGGAAAGGAGGAAGAAAAGTGATCTTGCAGAGAGACAAGAAATTGGGGGGGAAGGTGGCAGTGAGACTGCAGATGAAATGAAGGAGCTGAAAGATTGGGTCGAGAAAGAGCTGAAGGAGAAAGAAAAACAGAGAATGAAGAGGGAGGAAGAGATAAAAATGAAAGAAGAAAGCTTTTCAGGCAAGAGAGAAGAAGATGAGACTGTGGGAGGACGAGATTTTGAGGAGGGAGGATGGATTGAAAAGAAAATTTCACCAGATGCAATACATTCCTACGCAGCAACTCATTGATGAAATGCATGATATAAAGAGAAGGGTCGGTGACCTTGAAGCATCGGAAAAGCGTCGTAGACTCAAATGACACAGTAGTGTGACTTTAGACAGTAACTGACTCATATTGAGTGATTTTATATAATTATTATATATGTAATGCTGAACGATATCTATTGACTTGCACGTGCAGTGAACGCAACCGAACACGCTGCATAACAAACGTCGTCAACGCTATAATTTACCCCTGCGCGTTGCCGTGCGTTTGGAGCATCTCTATCTGCTGTGAAAGAAAAGATGATTTTCTTCCTAAGCAAGCGTTTGCGGACCAAGAGGGACTTCGGAGTGCTACTTTTGCTACTTGCATTGGCACCGCTTCCAACTGGACCTGTACACGTGGACGCCTTGCATGATGACACTTTGTTGCTTGTGGAGAGTGAGGATCATGATTAGTGTAGACGGTGGAAAATCACTGCATTTTGCCTCACCCCACTTTTTCTTGTTTATGCTTTCGCCATAGGGTTTGCAGTATTTATGCTGCTCTCACTGGCTATTCTGAAATGGTTTTACAATTGTATGACATTTGCAAAACGTTATTGCAGGAAGGGACATTTTTTGGTCTTAGCTCTGGGTTTAGCTCCGCTGTTTATCCTGAAAGGTGCAGTTTCATTTTGTGTGCTCCTTGCGAAATGGCTTTGTAAGAAGCAATCTGTTTCAAGGTAGCTATAATATTATTGTAGTATCGTTTTGTGCATACTTAGTTCTTTTAAAATGAAGGTACAATATTGACGTGTGGATACACATGGACCGGCGAAACTACAGAATTGTTAAGAGTGCGTCTGCGGACACCGACTGCAGTGTAATTTACAGCTTGGTTGAAAAAATCTTGGAGCTATCAAAGGACAGGTTTTACCCATCAAATGGTGTGAAGATTCTCTCTCCTGGTCACCCACTGAGCTGTTATGTACTTTGCACTGGGCATGGGTTACATCTTGATTTCTACTTGAGGTGCACAGGGGGAGATGGAACTGATGATGAAGGCTAGTTTTGTTATCACTTCCAACGTGGTAATTGGCTGATGATGGAAGTGTTACCTAGAACTGTAAGCCTGCTGTTAGGTGACAGCTATGGATGGTATACTGTGTAGGTTCCATGAGAATATCCCAGAAAAATTATGCTCTACCGCCTAATTAATGTTTACGAAAAGTGTTTTCTCTGAATAAAAACGTACTATTATGCCCATTTTCATTGTTTGTAGGTGAGGATGATGAGTGGCTTAATGAGTCTAATTGTGAAATGATAAAGAAGTGTCTAATGGATGAGTGGTCTACTGACCCAGCTGTATGTGAATTTAAGAAAATATTTCGAAAGAAGCTGTTTAAATCAGGGAAGGTAGCAGAGACTAACTACTGCATAGATGAACAGGGGAAGCTGTTTCACATCAAACGGATTCGGAAAACAGAACAGAGACGGGAAGTTGTTGTGAGAGGGAGGGCAAAAGAAATAGTGAAAGCTTTGCACCAGCAGACAGCCACAGGAGTATGTGTTCCTGGAGGAATTAATACACTGGTGCGATCATTCACAGCTAATTACTTCTGTAAAAATATTCGCAAAATTGTAAAAGACATGCTACAAAACTGCACAGGGAACATGCAAGTTATCTAAAGTGTTGGATACAGCCAAGCCTGCAATAGTTGCAAGTCGATCAGCGTGTGTCATGGAAAAAATTCAGTGTGATCTAATAACTATCACGTGTAAACGAGGCCTACTCCATTCATGTAGTCACGATTTCAAGTACATCTTGACAGTGAAAGATTGTTTTTCTAAGTATTGTTGGCTGCCCCTTTGGTAAAGCAAGGAAGGGGCTACCCATTGCAAGTTTGCTGCATAGAATTTTCCAAGAACATGGTGCCCCTACTTATACTTGCAGTCAGATAATGGAACAGAATTTGTGAATAGGGTTTGTGAAAGATGTTTGTTGCAAGTACAATGTACATGGACGTCCTTATCACCCACAATCCCAAGGTCAAGTTGAGAATTTAAATCGTCAGGGTAAAGAATTGCCTGAGACACTTTCTATTAAGTCACTCTGAGGAGCAGCGACCAGAGGTGTGGCCCAGCATGGTTAAAGAGATAGAGTACTTTTTAAACCATTCGTGGCATCACACAGTGCGAAGTGCACCATACAATGTTTTCTTTGGGCGGTTTGAGCTTAAAAATATTGGGAAACTGCCTGCCCAGCCTGAATTTATAGAGGAGTTTTCTGTTCAGTAGCGATAATATGGATGATGAATTGGAATTTGACCTGAATAGTACTGACTCAAAAGGAGCAATATCTATTCCCATTTACAGTGTGCATAATAGTGATATCTTATCCCAGCTGGCACACATGCAAACCCTACAGGAGAAACAGAAACGTGATGTTTTTGAGGCAACGGAAGCAACTATATCACGGAACAAGAGATCACAGGTGAACAAAATCAGAAGTAGAAGTTTCTCGGTTGGAGACACTGTACTTTTTAAAAATCCATGTCTCGGTACATTAGCTACTACCTTAAACATCAAAGGAGTTATTGAAGAAAAAGTCGGAAGAGATTTGCTAACAGTGATGGGCATATCATCCTTTTTGCTGCTCAAATGGTCCCAAATGTTGCTACTACTAGTAGCTACCAAAATAACTGCAGATGGCCAAGAAGCAAAATATTCACGTGAGTGGCAACCTCAAGCAGTTTTGGACAGAATTGCAGAGTATGCAGACTTGCAGCGCAGTTTCTTCTCAGCCAAAAGGAAGTACAAACCAGATATGGACTTAATTGACATGGAAAATATTATTCAGGAGATTGGGTATGATTTAAGGCTGGACAAGAATGTTGATTTCATGTTGACTTTGTACTTGGCTATGGATTGTGTTTTTTTGTCTACATTGACAGATGATGAACAATGGAAAGCTGATTTGGAAAAGTATCACAACACACTCTTAGCGTTTTTGCAGCAAAACAACTTTCATCATTTTTTGAGTGGGATATACTGGTGGGATTGCTTCAGATATCGAAGTGTTGACATTCTAATGCAATGCATGCTGGAGAAATCGATTCCTCTGTTTCACTATTGTTCAGAATGTGTAGATGATGGGCCATGTGCTCATCACTGCTGTAAACTTTGGCTTGTTTGTGCATGTGAAGAGCGTGGGATTCCCTTTGAATCTTCCAAAATGACAATAGCTTCAACTACCTCTTCAGCCAGTAATGGACTCATGTTACTTGCAACAGTGGCAACAGAACAATTAAACAATACAACACCAATTTACAGTAACCTAAAATTTTCAGCCACAATACATGGAAGATGAAACATGATGCAAGAGGTCAAAGATAAAAGCCATGAGAACAGATAGTCTGAAGCTTAAAAAACCAATGACTAAGGTGGCACAGAAACAAGCACCTGCTCCGACAGAATTAGAAATGCAGAGGAAAGAGAAGAAGTATAGGCTGTACATTGAACGCAATCTATCAAGGATTTCAAATTGCCGAGGTAGCTTTGCAGCTAGAATGGATATTTTAGGGAAAGAAATAGAGAAGTTTTTAAAAGCGTGGCACGCTCTTACACATGAACAGAAGTTCAATATGTACCTGAATGCTAGGTATATCATTCAAACCATCAATGTGCATACCACTGCAAACAGTGTAAAACAGGCCGGGTCATTGCCTTTTATGCAGCTCCAAGGAGACTCAAACCACTGTGGTGTCTGTGCTTTTAATAATCTGGTTGGTCAAGAAGTTACAACTGTTCATGAAATGAATGAAGCTGCTGATGAACTGTGGCTCAGACAATTTGGATTATCAATAACTGATGATGTTCAACGCCATAGGGATTCAAATGGGTTTCACTCCTTAGATACTATGCTTGCGATAGCAAGCAAACATGGATTAGTTTTCAGCCACTTGATCTGTGCATACAGTCCATATTAAAAGGAGAAATTAAACCTGATTCCTCAGCACTTTTCATTCATGAGTTGCGACGCTGCTATAAGCCCCCAGTTCAGCTGCTGATATTAGACAGAGACTCACGTGTAGAGCATTACACAGCTGCAAAGATTTACCAGCACATTATTTGGTACTTTGACTCACTGAAGTGGAAGCCTTTCACAATTTCAGCTAATTACTTGTTGAAGATATTGGTACGTGAGACAAGTCTTTCATTCTCTAAGTATAGACAAAGACAATAATCCTCAGGAACAAATGTCTTCTCCTGCTATGGTAAGTAGCTCGGATGTGTACTATATTAGAGTATGTACTGCGGCATTTTCTTTATGCAGGACGTTACTCCAGGGCTAGATGATTCCCAGTTTATAACTGTTAAGTGTCGTCAGTGCAGTAGTCACTATCCCCTCAGGGAGATCAACAAGCATATGCTTCAGTGTGTGAAGACATCAAAATGTGTGGGATGGGAGAGCATGGTTAGTATAACCACTAGTGACAGACTCAAATATTTAAGTGTGATTGCCCTTCAAACAGTCCCTAATAGATCTCTTTCCATAATAGGATTCTCACAAGGACACAGTGGATGATGAAATACTTTGCTTAGGTAGGAGCTTTACTTCGATGAGATATCTATAATCATTATGGGAACCCCCAGACTCTGATGACACATCAGGTGATGAGTTTCCAGATATTACAAAACCACCACCAAAAAAGGGTAACGGCCATTTTGAATCAAAATGGAACTTTGTGAGACTACTAGCTATCATTCTTAAAGTTTGTAGAACAGAAGTTGCCAGAAGAAAACCTTTTGAAGAAGGTATATTATATATGATATTATCTGCGTTGGGCGGATGTGGATTTAAATGCTTGCTATTAGATTCCTCATCAAAGCATGCACAACCTATAGCAAAAGGTAGGGTAGAGTTTCTTCCATTGGCTCTCATAAGCCCACAACTGTACAGTTCTGCTAAGGGTAGTTGGAGGCACAGACTGCTGCACAGATGAGCAAATTAGAGGGGTTCTGCAAGGACATTGGCTTGACAGTGAGGTTTGTTGCTAATGTACTGCAATGTTTAATATCTGACTGATATCAAACTTTGCAGATTTTGTCACTATTCATGACAATTGAAAACCGTCGTAATGTGATTGCTCGTCAGCAGGTGACATATTTTTGGACTTAATATACTACATTGTGCATAAAATTCCATTCAACAGGGGCGCACTCGACAGACAATGTATTTCATGTCACCATTCTTCTACATGAAATGGTTGCAAATAATGAAATTGGTGTGATCAGGAGAAAGAGTACCCATATCAAGAACCATCCCTGCAACTGGATCAATCAAAAGCCATCTGATCTAGACAAACTCATACTTCCAATTAATATTGACAATTGTCACTGGATTCTTTGTGTAAGTCACGTCATTCTTTAAATACGGCAAATGCAAAAGGTGATACAATATAACCTCATGACACTGGGCCATTCCCTGCACAGGTGATCGAGTTCCAACCGTGTATAATCAGGACATATGACTCACTGAACTGTTCACCACACTCAACTGTCGGCAACAACCTACTGTAAGGGAATAACTAGCTACCCAATGAGAATACCTTCATGTATTGACCTTCCATTTAGTCTTCTTGTGACTGAGATGTATGCATACCAAGAGAAGCAAGTGTACAAAACATTTACATGGAGAGTTGAAGTACAACAGGTAATGTGCACAAGTAAAATGAAAAGCACTTGAAAGTGCATAACCCTCGCCACTTTATTCGGCCAATGGCTACTAGCTACACTACTTCAGTTTTTGCCACATGCGTAGTTACTACTACAGCAAAGTGAAAAGCACTGGTCTTGACAACCCTCACCACTATTCAGCTACATAGCTACGCTACCTCAGTGGCTCCTTCACTGAACGGATTCACTGGGGCGTGTGCTGCTCTAACTTCACCGGCAATCAACTGTACCATCAATACAGCCAGACCAGCAAATCTTCTCCACACACGCAAAGAATTTAGCATCTAAGCATTATACAACGATGGTTCGCGATCTCTATTTGACGCACACCCACCTCGGCAGCCGTCCGTTTCACCAGCTTCCCCCAGGCTTCTCCGCTCCAGAATCCTATTTTACCATGCATTCCTCCTAGTTGAAAATATGTCCACGTTTCACGCTCAGAGTTGCCGCGGTGACCGAGAAAAACGGAGGACAGACGGACGGACGGACGGACGGACGGACACACGCACACACACACACACACACACACACACACACACACACACACAGAGACAGACCGACTGCAATAACCCTCGCTGCGCATGCGCGCAGGCGAGGGTTAATAATACACATTCAAGTTAGCTGTTGTGATATTTCAGGAGTGTCCCCGCCAGACAAACACTTCAGATTGTGGAATATTCGTATGCAAAGTAAGCCGGCAATATTTTAGAGAGTTTAATATAGTCAAAGCTTCAATAATGCAAATACAGATTAGTGATTTCATTTTAAGAGGGGAAAAATGTAGAATTTCAGGTAAGCAATACTTGAGAGTATGAATTACAATTCTATCAGAATACCATATGATAGACTGACTCTCACAATATAAGAATTTGGCTAGTTCGAGAGGTTCTGTCTAGGTAAGACATTATTTTTTCATTGTGTGAAGAGCAAGAAACCAAATTTATAGCTCACATACTGAAATCTTGGACGAAGCGGCAGTATCCATATTTAAGGGAGAAATTGATTATGATTCAAGTTGTGATGAATCTGCGTACGATACAGGTACGGTACCTTCGACTTTAAATCTATGTTTTTAATCGCTTACTGTAACTAGCTGATGAATGTGAAGATAATACAAAAAAAGAAGAGCAGGAGATGAAAGAGCCTAACTTCCGTAATCTAATGTAATACTTTTTGTTGGATGTTTTAAATTAAAGTGATCATTTTCTCAGAGATGAACGACATCATCCAGCCGACCTGCAAAAATACTAACAATGAGGATCCAGATGAACTCTTTGAAACACCAAGACACATCATAATGGCAAGAAGAAGAGAAAGTGTATACGAAGAATACTGCCGACACCCCCAGGAAATGTATAATACAGGTTGCTCTAGCATCACCTTTACAGTAAACCCTTATAATTATGCAGAAATCTTTCCAAAAGGGATAACTTTACCTTCTCTGAGAGTTGAACTGCAGAAGATTGAGGTATATATATACAATAATGGTTAATATTATTATACACTGTCACCATATACAATAAAATTATACAGCCTTACCTGAGAAGACTGTGCAAGACACCAGATAATGTTAGATGGAAGACTTTTCTGAAGGCCTCAACGGAGAAGCAACTCCAACATGCAATTAACAAACATGTTACAACATGGCAGTTTGAGCACCCAGGAGTTGTAAGTGGTACAGAATTCAAAAACCTTTATGCATTGTTTGCTAGGTTAATGAGATGCGATGTTTTGTTACAAGTATATGTGAGGATGAATTTCCTGGGCTGACGGTTAATCCGATTCGGATGTCTGAACATGAAATACTTCCAGAGGTATGAGTATAGCTCTACATGTTTAGGAGCAGTGATGTTTCATTCAAATTTCCAGGCTATTATATCACTGATCCAGTGTTTCTATGGAGTAACATATGAAGAAGCTGCCATCCATTACATTCAAAAAACTATTCCATGACAAACTCTCTTTCCCTCCCCTCCTGTGGTCCTTACATGCACTGCATCAAATATTCCAAGATAGTTTTATTAACTACCTGCCACACCCCTGATTCACATCACATACTGAAAAAATGACGTCAGAAATACCAAAAAAAACGTGCCCCGATGGACGTATATATACTACACCACAGCCACTCTACTGTCTAACGACACACCCATGTATAATATTATACTTCAGAAGTAATTCCTACTCCACATCATGTTATTCCATGTCAGGCGCACACAATCTAGCCCCAGGACTAGGTGAAGGTAGTCCAAATGGTGAAGACAGTCTGGTCCTGGGGCTACGCATCAGTATAAGTCCAGCACAAGGAGGTGGTGAAGGTAGTCCAAATGGTGAAGACTCCTGGTTGCTTGGTGAAGAATTATACCTCAAAAATACCTATATATAACATTTCCTTATAATAAACATCATATCTAATGCCAGAAGAGATCATTATTCTTAATTATCTGTTCTCCAGGGACCACAGGAGGGAGGAGCCCCAATGATGATTACAATTTCTGAGGGACTCCAACAATGTTACACCCACAAGAAGACTTTGTTAACATTATAATAATGATTGTGTACATCACTTGCAAAATTAATAATTATCGTGGAATGGCTCCGTAGACTACAGTACACTAGCGTGCAAGAATGGCTCCGTAGATTAGGCCAGAATGGCTCATTGATTGCAGTACACTGGCATGCCACAATGGCCTATAGATTACAGTAGGCTAGCGTGCCAGAATGGCTCATAAGATTGCAGTACACTAGCGTGCCAGAATGGCTCATAGATTACAGTAGGCTAGCGTGCCAGAATGGCTCCGTAGACTACAGTACATTAGCGTGCCAGAATGGCTCATTGATTGCAGTACACTAGCGTGCCAGAATGGCTCATAGATTACAGTAGGCTAGCGTGCCAGAATGGCTCATAGATTACAGTACACTAGCGTGCCAGAATGGCTCATAGATTAAAGTAGGCTAGCGTGCCAGAATGGCTCATAAGATTACAGTACACTAGCGTGCCAGAATGGCTCATAGATTAAAGTAGGCTAGCGTGCCAGAATGGCTCATAGATTACAGTAGGCTAGCGTGCCAGAATGGCTCCGTAGACTACAGTACATTAGCGTGCCAGAATGGCTCATTGATTGCAGTACACTGGCGTGCCAGAATGGCTCATAGATTACAGTAGGCTAGCGTGCCAGAATGGCTCATAAGATTACAGTACACTAGCGTGCCAGAATGCTCATAGATTAAAGTAGGCTAGCGTGCCAGAATGGCTCATAGATTACAGTACACTAGCGTGCCAGAATGGCTTGTAAGATTACAATACACTAGCGTGCCAGAATGGCTCCGTAGATTGCAGTACACTGGCGTGCCAGAATGGCTCATAGATTGCAGTACCTAGCGTGCCAGAATGGCTCATAGATTACAGTACACTAGCGTGCCAGAATGCTCCGTAGATACAGTACACTGGCGTGCCAGAATGGCTCATATGATTCATGTACATTAGCGTGCCAGAATGGCTTCATAGATTACAGTAGGCTAGCGTGCCAGAATGGCTCCGTAGATTACAGTACACTAGCGTGCCAGAATGGCTCATAGATTGCAGTAGGCTAGCGTGCCAGAATGGGCTCATAGATTACAGTAGGCACTGGCGTGCCAGAATGGCTCATAAGATTACAGTACACTAGCGTGCCAGAATGGCTCA